GTAAGCGCCAGCGCTAATTGTAGTCAGCAACATAACGTTGTCGTTACTGCTGCGCATGCAATAAATCTCCAAGAATCTTGGAGATTTCATCGTACTATTTTACCAGGGTCTTCCTCAGCTCGCGCGCCACCACGAGGAAGACCCTGGGGACGAGGTTGGGACAGCATGGCCGCTTCGTCAACGGTCGTATGCTCATCAGACTCAACTCGGGCCTTCGCGAAAAAAAATGCAACCAATTTTCACTGTACACCTTGCTAAGCTAAAAAATACTTACATATCCTTATAGATTTAAACACGCTGAATCCTAAAAAGTTCTTGTCGATAAACCCTGCAATTTTTTTGTAAATTGCGATCAATATCTTAAAATTTACGAGTTTTGCAATAGTATTTTTACTATATGCCATATCTCAAAATGCATACTCTCGGAACCAGTCGTTCGCTCGCCGTAGTGAAAATTATACAGCATAGGTCACTTCCGCCTCCTCTTGAGATATGTGAATTCAGTTTGATGTAAACAATGAGCAACACGATTTTCAAGTTTCATATATTATTGCGACAAAGCGTATTTTCTGGCTTTGTAGGAAGAGATTTAGCAACACGAGGCATTCTTTCAAGATTATGGACTGATGTGTACACTATTTCATCTTTATGGCGTGTAATAAAGGACGAAACAAACTTCAATTTTCTATTTTGAAGACAGATTAATGGACATACTGTAGTGAAAGATATTTGGATGGTATTTCAAAGATATTTGGATGGTAAACCAAAAACTATCAAATACTTAATAGTGAATATAAAATACATATTTAAACAGTACTATAATTATACCATATAGGGTAATGCGGGGCAAAATCAGAGGAGGAGTGAGGACTATACCGGCATGCAACGCGGTCAGGCGCGGTTTTTTACATATTATCGATTTCTCGCTCTGCGCCGTCATTGTTCGGTCGGCTTTCGCTGTGTTTACACCTCGAGGTTTCAAAAGATTCGGAGAAGATTTATCGAAAAAAATTGTAAATTGGTGAATTTTTGCACTATACATGGAAAGAAAACTTCGTTTTTGGGTGGACACGAGCTTCTGTGTGTTCACTGTGTGTCAAAACAGCCTTTAATCTTGATTCCGGAAGAATTACCGTGTGATGAACTTGAATGTCGTGAGGATGTGAGGTTCATGTTTATAGTTTTTAATACAGATAGTTCGGAGAATAGTCCTTTGTCCAGCTGTGGTTAACGGAATAAAAATTGATGAAATGTTCGCTGATTGCGGTTGTCCTCCACTGGTACAAATTCACTCTAGTTGTGTTTTTAAGGTGAGATGATTTTTATATAAAAATAGAAATATAAAAATGCTCCTATGTTGTATAAATACAGCAGTATCAGGGTTGGATATAAGAAGATTTTTTTAAAAGTAAAATCTTCTTATTTCTTATATTAATATAAGAAGATTTTTTAACAATATAAGAAGATTTTCCATCTTCGAACAAACTTTGATGACATCAAGGAAATATGACATCATAAGTATAAATTACATATTTTCATGTAATCTATTTTACTTGTATATGTTGTCAAATAACTTGCAACCAGTATACAGCTTCAAATTCTCATCTTCAAATTACAAAATTGTTGAAAATAATATAAGAAGATATAAGAAGATTTTCCCCCGAAAAATAAATCTTCTTATATTAATATAAGAAGATATAAGAAGAAATAATATAAGAAGATTTGCCAACCCTGAGCAGTATTAAACGTATTTTTATTTCATATCATGTAGTTCTTCGACCCTAATGATCTACGGGAAGGAAGTATAAACAAAGAATATAGCAATGTTATGTTGTGGGAGTTTGACATTTAAACATCACCAACATCCCAAGCAATCCCACCATGTGACCCAGATAGTCAAGATGATGAGCTGGATAGTGTACTTCCACCAACAGAATTACATCAGCCAACTGATGGTATAACTGTTTTAATTTACCAATAAACCCTGTTTGCCCTGACAGACATTCATACACACCGAATGATGGAAGAAGCGCCCAGTGGTAGCATTGTTGTAAAGAATGAAATGGAGGAAATTCAACACTATCGCAACACTATATATAAATGTATTGACTACTGTGTGATGCATTGCAAGGATTTATACTGATCAACCAGTTATCTATGCTCAAATGATCAACCAGTTGTCTATTATTTTACTCTGCCTAACGCCAGATTATTTTGCTGTCGAATACTAGACTATTTACTCATCAGCGGGAGACTGCTGACACTCAATGGGTTAAAAAACATTGAAAGAAAATGTTTAGCAGAAGCTGAAAAATTGTTTATTGGTGTCTGGTGTAATACTGATAATTCTTTTATTTGTAAGGATAGAGCTGGGGAGCTTCTAATGGTACAGTCTTGGCCCTACCCCAGTTTTCCTATACTGCATGTGTTTTTGTCACTTCCCTGATTATACCACAAGTATTGTATCCCATGGACCGCATTTTATCAGTTCTGCAGTTTTTTGACAATCTACTGTAAACCTCCACCTAAAAGCACTGGGCTTATAATTCTTTTGTAAGCGATTTTTGATGGGCTTACACAAGGGGGGCTTATACATGGGGGTGGGTGAGCTTATATTCAGAGGTTTATGGTATGTATGGTTTTCATGATTTTCAGTGTATAGTCTTCCCTTGCTCATCACAAATTAATAAAAAGATCACACTACATAATTGATGTTGATAAAATTTATTTATTTTAAAATCGAAAAAATATAAACATAATATTGCTGTACTTAAAGATAATTAAAATGTTTTTAAAAATAAAATTTTATGCACACGTAGTATATGAAAGGTGATGCTTTTGCTCTAGCTTAATGATGTATTAAAACAATCTAGAGGTATTACATAATTGGTAAACCTCTTCAATCGTAATGATTTGCATGATTTTCAGCAACAGATATGAATTCAATGAATGCTTTATCTTCCTCAAATGTCCATTTATGAAGTTTAACTGAGAATTTCTTTGGAGGAGTCGTTTAATCTTTCTGATAAGAAACTACAAAACAAACAGCAAAAGTGAGAGGGGCAATGTTAGTGCCAGCACAATTAGACAACAACAAAGAAACTCATGGATTTTTACTAGGATTGTGTGCATGCTTCTTCAGGAAATTTGTGTACTATAGGTTTTCCGGAATGCCCAGCATTGAAAAATAATGTTGGCGCACGGGTGGATAGAAATTGCCCAACATTGTCATGAGTTTGTGAACAAGAGGTATAAAATAGAAGGAATACATCTCCTATACAGACTAGCAGAAATACTGTTTAAAGTCAATCTTAAAACAATTGCCCAATTTTTAAAGCAGAATTCTGCCCAACTAAACACTGACTGGAGGGGTTACACCCCCCCCCCCAGCCTCATATGCCTATGGACAGAAATTCTCCCAGGCAAAAAAGCATAATTTAAAATACAATGTTGCTGTCACTATGATAATAACTCAAGCCCCCATTATTAACATATTGTTTCATTAAAAACTGATATACAATGTTTTTGTGTAATCATACTGTATTTGTAATATGTTTGTAAAAACATTTGTACTTTTAAATACACCTTGGGCCCTTGGCTTTGGACTCTGAAACAAAGTTCGGCTTGATGTTGAATTTTTCAAACGAGAAATTCTGTGTCTTTTATTATTAGGTTTCCCTGGGGGAAATATGTACGAACATATATGCGTATGTTCCAAAATTATCATGGGAAATAGTGTTTATCGTGATAATTTCCTTCGCGCCATGATGATTATCAGGCGGTCTATTCCCGCCATCGGCGATAGAATATAGCAAAAGTACCCCATTTTCAAACCGCGATTACTCGTCGGTTTAGTGGAGCAAATTCATGTTTTAAAGTAACAGTAGAAAGAATAAATCTTCACGAATTCGATGACTTGTTTTGTTTTTATTTTCCTAAAAAAAAAGTGAATTTGCTTCTGCATTATATCAAGGTCATTTTATTGGCGTGTCCACTGACCCGGAACAAGCATAATTACAATACGTAATTAGCATAACTAAAAAGCAATTCCTGTACCAAATAAGTCAAAAATAGTGTAATTAGGTTCTTAAATAATACAAATATAAAAACATACCTTCGAAAAAACGAGATATACGAAGCCAAAATCGCAATGTATTTCAACAACTTTTCGCCAAACGTTCGTTGAAAATCGTAATTGTGAATAATAATGAGACGCAATGCATTGTGGGAAGACCCTCATTCCTCCTCTGGGGCAAAATGAGACAGTGGGGCTAAATGAGACAGTTCGATTCATTGGCGCTTATATGGCGTTCTATTCAATTATTTACGCCAGTAATCATCGCAGGCTCTTAACATGCATTTTTGAAGACCACTTCGATGATAAGAGACTTTTATTTTTCTCCACAACTAAGAAAAAAAATCAATTTTTTAAACCTGTCTGGATGATCGATCGACAAACGAAGGTACGTTATTACTTAACTATTTTAGTTAACCGATTGTTATTCGTTTAATATCGCGTTTATCTTATAAAACCTATCGGTTTAATGTGGTTTATAACATAGGCTTTCAAGTCCCACGTGGTATTTTTGTCGATTTTTTCTATACTTTGACTATTAGCGTGTTTAATTGAACTCATACCATTGGGGCAAAACGCGACAGCTAAGTCTAAACCAAGTAATATATTTTTGGTCAGTGTGATGCTGTCCATTTGACCTTTTATATGCATTTGCCATGTTGTCAACATATGAAAATACTATCTAGGATCCTTACCAGGACTATTTGTGTTATATTGAAGCCCTCGACTGCTAATTTAATACCATTTTTGTCCTGTTTGAGAAAATTGAAAGGATTTATGTGTATGCTTGCATCAATATATACTTTTATGTTATATTTTATCATACATTCCTACATTCATATATATTTAATATTGTAAACAAAACATAGACCTAAGCCCATCACTCATCAGTCCTCTAATCAAAGTAATTTTTATTTTATTAAGGATGGTTAGACACTATGTACGCAAAACCCAGCGTGCAAACTGGAGCGAAGAGCAAATGAAACTTGCCATTTCAGAAGTTGAAAAGAAAGAACTTTCGATTAGAAAAGCTGCAACTGCCCACGGAGTTCCAAAGGATGCATTAAATCGCCGAGTCAATGGTAGGCTAAAAAATTTGTTAGTAAATGAAAGGCATAAGAATGTGTTAGGACGTTATAGAACAGTTCTTACACCTGAACAAGAGAAAGAGTTCGAGGAGCACATTATTAAGATGGATCAAGTATTTTATGGTCTTTCCATCAATGATATCCGGGCACTAGTGTATGAATATTGCGAAAAAAATAACATTAGCAATAACTTTAACTCGGACAAGAAAATGGCCGGTCGAGACTTTGTTAAAGGTTTTCTCAAGCGCCATCCGAAGTTATCCCTTCGAAAACCAGAGTCAATTTCTTTGAATCGTGTGTTCGGTCTGAATAGAACTTCGGTAAATAGGTACTTTGGTAATTTAAAAACAGTTGTTGATAAGCATAACTTTAAAGCACATGAAATTTTTAACTGCGATGAAAGTGGCTTGACATGTGTCCACAAACCCAATAAAGTGCTTGCACCGAAAGGAAAACGAACAGTTTCATCAACAACTAGTGGTGAACGCGGTCAGACAACAACCATTGTTGTCGCATGCAGTGCATCTGGTGTGTATGTCCCACCAATGATGATTTTCAAGCGAAAAAGAAATAAACCGGAACTTGTCGACCATGCACCGGCAGGCACAATTGCCGGTTGTTCAGATAGTGGCTGGATCGAGGCAAATTTGTTTTTAGATTATATAAAACATTTTGCAGCCCATGTGAAGTGCTCGAAAGGTTCACCAGTTCTATTGATTCTGGATGGTCATAAGAGCCATACCAAATGCCTGTCCACCATTGAGTTCGCCCGTGAGAATGGTATTGAAATGGTTTCATTGCCACCACATACATCACACAAGCTCCAGCCATTAGATAGAAGCTTCTTTAAACCATTGAAGTCGGCATTCAATACTGCTTGCTCAAGCTGGTTAAGGAGTCACTCTGGTCGCAGAATAACAGTCGACAAACTAGGTGAACTTTTTAACACTGCATACTTGAAAGCTGCCACCATGGAGAATGCTATTTCAGGATTTAGATGCTCTGGTATTGTACCATTTAATTCAGACATCTTACCATCTTCTGACTTCCTCGAGCATCCTCACACAGCTGCTTCAGCATCTGAAGTCGAATTGGTTCACTCTACTCCAGGAGAGTCGGTTCCCTCCATCCCAGGCGAGTCGCTCCCTTCTGCCACAGTCTTGGTTTGTTCAACACCTGCCCAGCCGTTAATCACTTCTACCCCAGTCAAATCATTTCCACTGGGTGTGTCGGTTAGCGTCGGTGTGTCGGTTACCGCTGGTGAGTTAAGCCCCTCCACCTCTGGCAGTCAAGATCCAGAAAAGTCTGTAACACTTATGGACATCCTAAAGGTGCCATTACTTGTTGAGAAACAGAAGTCGAAGCGTTCGGAAGAGTCAGAACATTTGACAGGTTCGCCGTATAAACAGGCTCTTCAAAGAGAAAACGTTGAAAAAGAAGTGAAACTGGCAGAAAAGAAGAGGAGGTCTCAAGGTCATTCTGCTGGAAAGAAACCAAAGAAGGCCAAGACAGCTGCAACCAAGCCAAAAAAGAAAGTCAAAGCTAGCACTGAGGATGCAGAATGTCCAATCTGTGGTGAACTTTGGTCTGTGTCCAAGCCCGGTGAAGATTGGGTAACTTGCATAGAGTGTAAACTATGGTGCCATGAAGAATGTTGTACTATCACCCCAACCAGTGCAACCTGTGACTTATGTGTGTGACATTAAACATCAAAATTATTTCTAGCATGTATTTTATTACTAGTTCCAAAGTTTTATTAAATTAAGCATGATTATATTAACTTCATTGTAATTGTTTTAGTCCTGCCTCATTTTGCCCCACTGTGCTGGGCAAAATGAGACAATTTCAATTGCCGGATTTTTGCGAATTTACAACCAATAAATTATTTCAAACTATTTTTTTTGCTTTGAATATCTTGCTGTGGGTCAGCCTCACATATTCAAGCCAAAAAAAAAATCAGATTGTTAAGCATGTCATTTTGCGACATTAAACGTCCTTAAGTGTCTCGTTTTGCCCC